CTGTTGCCAGTCTCCTAGTGTTCACAACAGATGAGTCTGGCCTATGGTATCGTTTTGGCGCCACCTCCAACATATGGTACAGTTATAACTAGGTCAATGGAGACCCTCCTGCCCTCTAGTTCCTCTTGGTTGTTTCAGTTATTTGAGCCACCGCACCAATCCACAAAGAAATTAGTTTAAAAGAAAGCATGCACCACCATCACAGTGCAAAGTGACGAGGTGCTTTTGTTCACGACCTGATAAAGACCAGGAGACATTGTAGCTAAATCAGCAAAGAAATACTGGCCAAAACCTCTCTGTATGTATTGAAGCTTACTTGAATATCGGTAGCATAAGCTAGATCTTTGAGTGCAGAATCATTATTAAGACAAGTGCATGACATATGTATTTGGTTTTTTTCATGCATTTTCACTCAGGCCATAAATTCATAGTGTCAACATCATGATGTAAGAAAAAAGTTCAGTGCATGGATTTAAAGATTTTTTATTGGATACACAAATTTGTGGCAACCCTGCATAGAGAACAGTTGCATGCACAACTCCGGTGGCTAAATGGGGCTTGCTTTGCATGTGTAAGTACAATTCTGTTCCTGAAAATGCAAACAGTAATTTACTCCTACTTCACCTTGGAAGGATAGCTGAAGATTGTGTTGGGTACCTTTTAAGAACTGAAGCCAGGTGGCAAGCTGTTGCAGTTTCAGACAAAGCCAGTGTTTTCTGGGTTTTGGTCGTCTTCCAATAAATTGACCATATAGCTAACTACCAGGTACCCTTTTCTATCGGTGCTCTGTGGTGGACACTTTCTCTCTTTTCCAGCTGGACTGTTGCACTGAATTGGTTCACCCACCAAACTTTTAATAGAGGTACACTTTGGAATAGTACTTAATCAATCCATGACAGCAGGATGCGTTCAGTCAGAATGTGTAGTAAGCAAGGAGGGAGTGGAAAAGCATTTGGGCTAAGTACTCAAGTATGGCAACATCCAAGAGACATTTTTGACCCAGCTTTTTATTTGCCAAACATTTCACAGCTTGTTTTCTTTTAATTTGAATGCTTCATATTGAAAAATGGAGAACATAAAGGAAGCAAAAGCAGAAAGGTTTCATGATCACATTTTTACAAATACAGATCTTTGTATTTTAATTCCAGATAGCCTGTAATTTCAAAAATCCATTATACTAAAACCCTTTTAATTCTCAGTTGAAATGAAAAGCTTATAGGGCAGAGGATAAATGAACTATTCTGTTTATCTCATGACTGATGTATTTTAGTTGGTTTGGCTCTTTAGAGGGGAAGAGAAAAACAAACCCTCAGATATTTGCACAGCTTTACTGAAAATAAAATAGCAACAAGACCAAAAATGTCCTATTAGTCCACATTAGTACTGCCAGATCAGCTACTCAACCTTGCCTCTGTACTTGGGAAAAAGTACTTTCTAAATTAAAAAAATAAGACTGAAAGACTACAAAAGTTCTTCTAACCCTTCCCCTTGTTTTAAGGCAGAGTTAGAATTTTGTGTCATTCCTGAAAAATATTTGTCTACTCTTCTTAAAGCTTCCCGCGAAGGAGACTGACAACGTCCGCAATCCTTAACTAACCTCAAAGATAGAAAGTTTCTTCAAGTTTTTGGCTGAATTTTTTTTGCTGCAATGCAAGCCCATTAGTTCTTATCTTACCCACTGTAGACAGAGTGAACAAACTGTTCCCTGCTCCTTCATGATAGCCTTGTAAAAACCGTTATTATGCCCGCTCTCAATTTTCTCTAATTTAGCCTGATCAGTTCCAGTTCTCTCAGTCTTTCTTCATAGGTCATGTTTTCTAGATCTCTGATCTCTTTCCTCTCTCAGGGCTTTTTCAGACAGTTCATTTCTTTCTTTGACATCTGATGCCCAAAAATGGATGCAGTATTCCAGCTAGAGCTTTGCCACTGCCAAGCAGAGTTGAAGGATTACTTCCTGCGCTTTGCAGGCTGCTCTCCCAAACATGTTGCAGAATGGTGATTGCTTTTTTTTGCAGTAGCACAACTGTGACTCTCGCTCAACTTGTGATCTGCTATATCTTCCAGATTGTCATTTGGTGTTCCCAATCCTGAACAGCTGATTATTTCTGCCTGAGTGTAGTCCCTTCTGCTTTTCTGTACAGCATTTCAAACTACTTTTCTAAGCAATGCTCCAATTTCTGAAAATTATTTTAAGTTCTTGCAGTGCCTTCCTGTTGCGCATTTGCAGACTTAGTCAATGTGGTTTCTGTTCTGTCGTCTGAGTTCTTAATGAGAACATTGCTTTTTGTAATGGACCTTCAGCCAGCAGGTCTTTTCAGTTGTTCAAAGACTCATTAGTAACTACTCTCTGGTTATGGTCATTCAAACAGTTTTCCCTCACTTTATAATACTTTAATCTAAACCTTGTTTCTTAAATTTGCTTATGAAATTGTTATGTGAAATGGTGTTAAAAACCTTGCTGAAATCAAAATATATGACAACCAGTTGTTTTCACTGTTGTGAATCCCTTCACCCTCCTTACAAGCACAGTAGACTGACTTGTGATTTGTTCTTCACAAATTCATGTTGACTATTACTCATCTGCTTATCCTTCAGTGTTTTCAAATTCTTTATTTGTTCCATTTTTTTCAGTGCATTGAATTTGAACTGACTGCTCTATAATCATAGAATCATAGAACGGTTTGGGTTGGAAGGGACCTTAAAGATCATCTAGTTCCAACCCCCCGCCATGGTCAGGGATACCTTCCACTAGACCAGGTTGCTCAAAGCTCCATCCAACCTGGCCTTGAACACTTCCAGGGATGGGGCATCCACAACTTCTCTGGACAACCTGTTCCAGTGCCTCACCACCCTCATAGTGAAGAATTTCTTCCTTCTATCTAATCTAAATCTACCCTCTTTCAGTTTAAAGCCATTACCCCTTGTCCTATCACTATATGCCCTTGTAAAAAGTCCCTCTAAGACATACATCAACTAGCCGTCTGACATACCATCTTTGAGAACTTCTCAGTGACAATGAGTAATAGTTCTGAGGTCACTTCATTCCCTTCTTGGCTGTCCTAGGATGAAGTTCATAATACATACCTGATTTGAAAACATATAATTTGTGGAAATGTTCTCTAGTTTGTTTCCCTATTTTAGGCTGAGATTTTACGTCTTTGCAACTAGATTAGCCACATGCTCTCAGATGACTCTTCTAATAAGTGTGCAAAAATGTATTAAACACTTCAGCTTTCCTCATCTTTTGGCAGTACCGTTACTTTTCTGCTAAGTTGTGGACCAGCTCTTTCCATAGCCACAACAGAGTAGCCGTACTGCAAACTCCCAATACTGAAGAAGTACATCAGGCTCTTTCAGCTCCACTCTTTCCAGCAGCCTCCATCACCGGTAACGTTGCAAACCTACTTCCCACTCCTCTGACAGGTTCCTTAAGTGGCCAGCTCAACTGTCTTCTTTAGCATCCAGGACTGTGGACAGCAGAAGAATAGAGACATCATGACCTTTAAAACCTGGAAAATTTTATGGTCTGGCTGCCCTGTAGAGAACAAGCTTTATGAAAAGCCGTTATGGTCATAGCTTTAGCTACCTGCGGTGCAGTGGCCTCTAAGGGCTGAAAAGGGAAGGGGTATTTAGCTTAGTTGAGTTCTTGAGCTGCCTTTGTATCAAATTCAGCCCCAAATCACAGCATTTACAGTCATAGTGGCAGTGCTGGCAACGTTCCATCAGGTGACTGGGAAAAGAAGAGGGGAACATGTAGAAGTTCAAAGCAAATAGAGAAAGTTTTATTTTAAAGATGGGTAACTTGAGGCACAGCGAAACAAAGTATTATTTCCAGAATCTGATAGCAGGCCTTGTAATGGAGGCCTTGTAAAAATACCATCCAGGAGTCCTGACTGAAGCATGTTACTCTCACACCAGAACCCACTCCTCAGCTATTTAAATAAATCTCTTGGGGATGGCGGTGAGGAGGGGATAAGATATATGGAAAAGGAAATGAGAATGTTATCTCCACTTTACTGTGTAATACTCATTTAAGAATGGCTAGAGCTTTCTGAATAATGAATGTATCTCAGTATTTCATGTCAGTGCAAAATGCTGTCTGAAGAACAGTTATTGTAAATGAGAACTGAGAAACTGCTATTAGAAAATTATTACAAACCTTAGGAAAGTGCTCATTTTGAAAACAAAACACAGATTTCATTTTGTAGTGTGACTTTCAATTAGGAAAAAAAATATTTCATTTTAAAGTTCTCTTGAAAAAGTAACTAGAATAACTCTGATATCTTTTTTTTTTAATCCCTTGCAGCTCCCAGACAGCTGTATAATGGATTACCATGAAAAATACAAGCACAGAATGAATGAGCTTGAAGCGTTTAATATGGTAAAAGTTATAGGATTAATACTATTACCTTGTATATATGTCCTCATCTAGAACAAAGCCCTGTTAAGTTTTATGTGGAGGTGGACTGTCTTACGCTGTGGTATGCAATCTCAAAAACAAAGCAGCTCCCCCTTCCAAACTTTGGAGCATATCCTATTCCAAAACTATATTAGGTGTCAGTAAAATAATAAAGCGAACACATGGAAGATTCTTTTTCAAGAGGGACTATTACCCTGGAAAATGAAATGTCAGTCTCCTTTTAAACCTAGACTGGTCTCCATGCAGTTATTTCATAAAAATTCTTTTTATTAAAATTCATTATTTCCCTCTTTAAAATTGTTCTGCTTCATATAATATCATTTTCTTGTTGGACAACGTCTCAAAACCAACTAAATAACATAGTTTCCTGGCTTTATGGCTTTCCATGTATTTTTGATCTTTAATATAATCGGTTTTGAAGATGTCCATCCCACAGGGAAAATTGGCAAAGTGACATTTGTACAACAGAACCACTAGAAAATGACTGACCTTCCTGGAATTGTTCTGTGGAAGTGTAACCATTCGGAAGTGTATTGGCTCTCTTTCCCAAAATCATTATAGTATCTAATCTTTCTTTCAGTTGAAGGTTGTTCTGGCTCCCTGCATAGAAGTTTTGATACTTCTGGATCGTCTTTGTTACCTCAAGGAGCAGGTATTTTTGCATTATATTTTATGATACCTAAAGGCTACATCAGTGAAATGAGACTATTTCAGCCAGTTTATTACTGTGCAGACGAGAAGTCTCTGTTGCAGAAATATTATTCTCATCATATTTGCAAAAGTATAAGCATTCTTTCCATTTACTATAAACATATGCCCAGCAGATGTTTTTATTTTCAGCAAAGCAGCAACAGTAAAGTTTATGTTCTTTTAATTGTATGGTAATTACTAGTCAATAGACAGTAAAAAAAATAATTAATTAAATATGCAACAAATCTCATTTTGTACAACATATTGAGATATTTAATAATTAAAAAGAATATTGGAAATGCTAAACAAACATTGTTCTGTACATGCTAGAGCTTCCAATGAATATGTTTTAGAACATATAATTCAAGTAATTTTGAATTAGGTCCAAAATGTTTATGATTTCCTTTTATTGTTTCTTAATTAAGATCAATGATGAGAGAGGGTGCACTTTTTCCAACTGTATGGGTCAACTGAGGTACATTTGACTAACATACAGCCTGGATATATTTTACAAGTACAGACCTGGGATATAATAAGCAAATGCTACTACATTTACTCCATAATGATTTATATTACAGTGTTTCTTCTAACACTAATTTTGAGCTTGGCCTGATTAACTCAGAAGCAGCAGTCATACTTTCTCTGCATCAGTAAATATTTTTTGGACAAATAATAATTTGCTAGGAGGAAATGGTAGCGTCTTCCAGCTTCTGCTCTGGGCCACAGTCAAAATAAAATTTTAAAATAAAGTTTAAACCCATTCATGTGAATAGCTCTGTTTTTCCACCATAAACCTTCCGTTTTAACAGCTTCATTTTATCATAAGTAAAAATTCACTTTATTCTCTGCCACAGTGCACTTGGAACAACTGAGTTGTAGTAAATGTATGCTTTTGTTCTAACTGGTATTTTTACAGAGAGGCAATTTGAAATATTTAAATAATGATGTATTTTCCCAAATGCCAACCAGTTATAAATCACATAGAGATCTGTATGATTTCCAAGACAGGAGATCAGCCTTGCTGCATTTAGCACTAATGTACCTTTTCTAAATGTAATATACGCATTGATTTAATCTTGTACTGGTTGATTCACAAAATGTGTTTAAGAAGAAAAATTAGAAATGATAAAAGCCATATGCAACATGAAGACCAGATCCAGCTGGCCTTATTCATTTGAAAAGCAGGTTAATTAGCTTCAGTAGTAGAATGTGCTGTATAAAATGAGTAGGATTTGATCCTTAAATTTCTTTGCTCTAGTACAACTGAAAAAAAGCTTTATTGATGAAGGGGGTGGTAAGCTGTCATTTGATAGTGCCAGAAATAATTTAATGTCTTTAAAGTACATCCTGGTTTGGGTATCCTTTTTTCTCAAGAAACTTTCTGTGATTTTATTGTTAGGTAAGTGTTTTTTCTGCTTTGCATTAAGGATAGTTTTTAATATTTTTTTGCAATTTTGTATTTCGAAATGTGGACCTATTACCATGGCTTAGCTTTTAATTCAAACACATTTTTATGTACTTCAATCATATATCATTTTACAGGACAACATTGCCTGGTCTGGACTTGTGAAGTTATTTGATCCCGTGAAATCCCCCAGATGCTATGCAGTTATTGCTCTGAAGAAACAGTCATGTTTTTAAGTGGAAGCAAATTGCAGATAGGTTGAAAGCTCTGAGCTGATACTGCTGTTTCCTCACTTTTATTCTGTTATTTTTAATTGATTCCTCAAGTACACTGACTGCTTTTCAGCTGCAAAAGTAAAAAGTGCAATGTCTCTTTGAATCATGAGAAATAAAGATCTCCTTTATAAATACCATTGCTTCCTTATGTCAGTTATTAGACAAGGTTGAACATCTGGCTTTATTATAAAAGTTACGACCCGTATTGTGTGATTATTATTTTAAAATAATTTTTATGTTTCTTCTTTTTAAGGCATTATACTATGTATCAATATCACTTCTCTTCATATTTCTAATCACAAGATCATACCTTCTCAATTTTTGCCAGTGGCTGGCAGCAGCAGTGTCAGACTAGCCTCACCTTTTTCTGTTCTGGATTGAGATGGTGCATAGCGTAAACAGAAAAATGACCTGCGCTGTGAACAAGAGGTTCGTAGACTAAATAGGATCTTTGTACTTCCGTGTTCTCCAGGTCGTCAGGACCAGCTTATTTATAGAGCAACCTAGAAGAGCCTAGATAGTAACTACCTGCAAAGAGCAGTTTTGTATTAACCCCTTCTTCCTTCAGGCATGTTCCTGGCATGCACTTGTTCGCTTGTCACTCTGAAAGACAAAAATATGTGTGCTCTAATCCAGTGGGAGATTTCCCAGTGCTTAAGAATCAGCTGCCCTGCTGGAGTTCACTCTGTAATCCTTGGGTTTTATCAGAAAGCTATTATCTGGCCCAAATGTGTTGGGTATAAATGCTTCGGTACCCACGTGAATTGAAACTTGCTAGGCAGTTTCTCGTTGGCTGTACTGCATTCATGAGTGGGAAATTTATTTGTTGATGCATTTATCTCAATGGGTTGCCTAATTAAACTTGCAGATTTTCCATCAATTAAAAAAGAGAAAAGTTTCTATTCTAAGTCCGAGTGCTTTTATTAGAATTTTCCAGCATATATAAAACATAATTAACTAGCAGTGCACAGAAAAAAGGACAACAAATAAATAATAAAATACAGCATTAAAGAAGAAAAGGGGAGAATGCAACTTTGGTGGGCAGAAGATGAGAATGACAGAAAATATTTTTATGGTAATTGTACAGTGACCGTAATAGCCATGAGAATCAGACTGAGATTCAGATGTGAGTAGGAACAAATCTTACCCTGTTTCAGTCTGCAAAATATAATGAGAGCTGGTGAACATGGCCATTCAAGAAAAGAGAAGTAAGGTATTTTTCTAACAAGTCCCATCTTTCTTGATGTGTTCACTTGGAAGAAATACTCTTTTTTTGGTGGTGTAAGTTCACTGCTGTCTATTTTAGGACTCTCAGTCCTTATTAGCTCCATGGATCCAGTATGAGCTTCTCACATTTGCTTGGTCCCAGTACGTTCAATCCTTAGAGCTGCTGAACACCTGCAATACCCAAGGAAATTAACAGACGTTGCAGGTGCTCACAGCATCTTTGGAGTAGAGCTAAGAAAAGAAAATGAGGCCTTCCATATATGCCACTTTTTGTTATATAGGGAGTACTGAGGAAACTAACAAGCTGGTAGATTCTTTTCCCAGGAGAGGAATCAAAAGAAATAAAATCCTTTCCTAACCTCTAAGCATCTGGAAGGAAAAAACCCCAATAATATCTGATATAAAGAGGCAATCTAAAGTACATGATGTTAAAAAGAAAAAAGATGAAAAAAATGTTAGAAAAATAGGTGTTCTACTAAGACATGATGACTAATTATTAGTGAAGTGTTAGAGTGTGTCATCCCAATCTTATGTGCTGTTGGAAAAATTTACTTGGGGATGAAATTGCCTTTTTTGTGTTATGAATTGATTCTTCTGCTTTTTCAGATCGAGTCTAAAGTACATGATGTTAAAAAGAAAAAAGATGAAAAAAATGTTAGAAAAATAGGTGTTCTACTAAGACATGATGACTAATTATTAGTGAAGTGTTAGAGTGTGTCATCCCAATCTTATGTGCTGTTGGAAAAATTTACTTGGGGATGAAATTGCCTTTTTTGTGTTATGAATTGATTCTTCTGCTTTTTCAGATCGAATACTAAAAACTGGGCATATATGATGTCCAAACAAAGAAAGAACAGTTTCTCGCTCAAAGCAAGTGCTTAGAAGTACCCTGTTATGGCCCAAAAATATTTGTTTCAGTAAGCCCCACCTGGTTTAATTTGAACACAGTCGAAATTGCATAGGGTATATACTCTATTGCTAATTTTGTGTCATAGTTTATTGTGTGTAATGCTATCTAAAATCAAAGTTAAATTCTTACTACTATCTTAAGAAGACATTTGCAACAGTTTAGAATAACAAGCACATCTCCAGGATTAGCCCAAGTGCTTTTTCACTGATTCAAAAAGGTCTGAATAAATTTGCATGCCCCCCCAGCAACTTCTCAGGCTCTTTCAGTACTTTTTACGCACTTTGTAGTCTATGCAGGCAAGGACAGAGGCAATGTGCTTCTTAGAATAATAACTATCAAGAGGTTTTTATGATGAGTTTGCATTCAGCAAAGTCAGTTGCTGTCTGCTCTCAAAGCTGTTTCAAAGCTTTGGATGCCTGAATACCTATGAGCTATTGTTTACATAATGGAAAAATCCCTGTCAGTAATCAAGATGAATAAAACGATTTTTCTTCATGGTTACTGCCAAAAGTCCTTCCATAATGTAAACCGTATCCTAAATATGATGAAGTCTTTTGATAGAAAAGAATCTCCATTTTCTTTCAGTGTGACAGAGAGCTATCTATCTTGATATGCTCCCTAAGGAGTAGTGGATATACCTGCTTTCCCTCAGGTGTTTGCCTGATTCTGTTTGTTGCACACCTATGCATTCTGTAGCAGATTTGGAGTGTTTTATTTGTTTTTCTTAGGGCTGAAACCTGTTCTTGGATGGAGGAACAAGAGTATATGCAGGGTATGTGTGCAACCTTAATATCCAGGAGTATGTTGTAGTCCTAAGATCTCTAAGCCTGCTTTTGCGACAATAAACTTTAATTCTGCAGTTCTGATTCATGCCTTAGAACATCACACCACAAAAAAATTTTGCGCTGTTTTAGTTTCTGGGATTTTAGTTTCAAGGGTTTTTTTTATTAAATATTAAGTATTTTTTATTACAAATTATCTTCTTCATTGACATTATTTGTTAATTTACTGCTAAAACAACTATCTGCTTAGAGTTAAAATGCTTTTGCTATGTCATGATGGAGTTAAAATCTTGAGACTCAAAATCTGTATGCCCTATGATGGTTTAAAATCTGCACAGGGGAAGCACGCTAAATGTATTTGGCTTGGTGGCAGCTATATGTCTTTTTGATGATTGGAGTATTTTTTCCTGTCAGTACTTATTGGTTCAGAGTTACTTTTTTCCTAAAAACCATCCTAAGTGTGTCATTATATTGCCAGAGATTACTGATACTAATGGCAAGTAGTAAAATAGGACCAGCACCAAGAAAGTCTTCCCTGCTTATGTGTGAAATAGCCAACTTAGTATGGTGCTTCAGACTTTCTTTTCTCTGGGAAGTAGCTGAATACCCAATCTTTGTTATCGTCTTTAATCTCTTTATCCCATGCATCTTATCATTCTTACTGATATATGTCCTTCTTCTTGCTGATATGTATCCTAGTACTCTGAAAGGAGAGGAATCCATACTAGGCTATGAGCCATGAAGAATTTTCAGTGCACGTAATCAAATCAGAACTGAAGTATAGTTGCCCAGACATTTAAATTGGCCACCTAACCCTTAGAACTGTGACTTTAGCTTCCTTAGTTTCTGAGATCCATTGAAATTTTGTAGTTTCCAAGATACCTGTATTTCCTGCCAGGTGGGAGCACGGTCTAATTCTCTGGGATCCAGCTGCAGCTCCCTCACCCTGTTCATCTGAAATAACCAACTCAGTTTGGTGGCTCTGTATTCTTTATCTCCAAGCAACTGCTGAATAAGTTGGTTTCTTTGAATTTGCTTATCTGTGGTTGTTATCTTTGTCAATGTTATATTTCAGAGTCCTCCAAGAAAAGAAGTAAAATCCTTCTGAGATTTAGGAAGCCTCAGTGAAGTTGCACCGCAGTTATGCTTCTTGTTGCTTTCTCCCTTAAAGCCTTGAAATTAATTCCTGATGATCAGACAGATTAAGAAGCATCAGACAGCCTGAGAGGCATAGGTTATTAAAAAATACTATGTACAATATCTTCTCTTCAGGAGTCTTTTTCGATTCAAGAGCTCTCAAGCATTTTCTTCACAGAAATTCCAGTGCATGTTATCATTAAACTCAAACATCCAAGGAAACCCACCAACGTATGAAGATTTGCCTCAAACTGTTAGAACATGCTGTTGTACACCAATCTTCCCAGTATACACCTGCATCCTCCTCAAGGCTGCAATGTCTGTATCAAACCGGAGAGGAATAGATACTTGTCTCGCCATCCCAGTGATGCTGTTTATGAAATCTGCAAGAGAATGACACTCTATTCTCTGCTTTGTGTTAAAAGGCAACAGAACTCTTAGAATGGGTATGTCCAACATCCAAAGATTTCTCCAGCTATCATTATTGAAATCAATTTAACAGACTTCTTCAGTCAGTTCAGTCTGTTAGTTACTTCAGTCAATACTGACTACCATTAATAGGTCTACAAAACTTTGTCCTGTGGTTTATGTTCCACAGGTGGACCTTTCTCATAATACAGGTTTTTTACTCATCAAACACCAAATGACTTCAACTAATTGCTGTGAGTGGGAGCTACTTCTAGAGTTATTTATTTATTTATTTAACCGTAATTTTAAGTTGTTTTATCCAAGTGGAATCCTACTATATACCATCATTTCCTCAGAACTGTGGATTCAAAGGAAATCAGAAAATGGTTTCTAGGTTACCAGTAAAATTTAGAAGAAATTGAAATTGTACTGCATAAGTGTGTTCTTGGGTAGGAAAGCACAGTATATGTACAGGTTACATCATGAGGCACACTGTTGGCCAGAATTTGTTAAACTCACGAATACAAAACACATAGGCAAGATTATATGGACAAAATATCTCAAAGATTTGCAGTTACTGTAAAGTATATAACTATTCTTTATAAACTGTGGGAAAAAATGTAATTATCTTATTCTATGGAAATACAGGAAAGCATGAACTTTCAGCAAGT